AGAGAGAGAGAGACATATACACATACACACATATAAAGGAGCTCTGGTGGCATAGTGCCTAAGGCACTTGACTGCTAACCAGAAGAAGTTTGGTGATTCAAACCCACCAGCCACTCTGCGGAAGGAAGACTGAGCAATCTACTTCCATAAAGATTTACCGCTTTGGAAACCCAAAGGGGATCTCTATGAGTCAGAATCAACTCAATGACAGTGAGTTTGGTTTGCTTTGATTTTGTATGGAATTAATATATTGTGAATGAGCATTTGAAAGATTGTCCTTATGCAGAGTGTTGAGCCTGAGTGTAAAGACATCTACAAAATGCATTGTACTCTCCAAAGGCCCTCTTCCTGACTCTGCACATGTTCTCCATCTGAGAGCTGAGATTCAGGTGAGCTACTGTTAGTTGCTCACTTCAATGCTGTGCACATACAAGATGCCAGTAAGTGGATGCTAATTGAATGAAGTGGAAATAAGTAGAGTTTTAGTAACATTATGGCCTCTTTGCTTTCAGTGTAATATAGACTAAATAGCCTATAAATTTACTTGGATCAATAATCAACACCTGTGGAAGCAGCAGTCAAGAGATCGAATTACATAATGCATTGGACAAATTTTCTTCAAAAGACTTCTTTAAGGTATAAAAAAGCAAAGACCTCACTTTGATAACTAAGGTATGCCTAACGCAAGCCATGGTATTTTCAATCGCTTCATATGCACCTAATAGCTGGACAAAGGAAAAGGAAAACCAGAGAACTGATGCACTGAATTATGTTGTTGGCAAAGACTATCAAATATGCCACAGACTGACAGAAGAACCAAGAAATCTTTCTTGGAGGAAGTACAGCTGGAAGGCTCCTTAGTGGAACAACCGTGAGTTTTCATTTCACTTACTTTAGACGTATTATCATGCTTAGTAGCGAGTCAGAGAAAGAAAGGAATCCCTGAAACAAGCTGGAATGAAGTAGAGGCTGCAACAGTGGCTCTCAAATATACCTACTATTGTGAGGGTGGCTCAGAACCACGCAGCATTGGTTTGCTCATAGATAGGGTTGCAATGTGCCAGAGCCAACTTGAGGGCACCTAACAACAAATGTCTATATTATATTATTTATATCAGGCACTTCACATATCTGGGCCTGGTCTTTAACAACGGATTTATTTTTCTTTTTAAATCTTCTGGAGCAAGAGAGTAGAGGCTTTGCTAGTATGTGACTTCCAAGTGAGGACCCAGTCCTGTGTCTGATTAGCCAAGTGTTGGTATCTGGGCCTGTCTTTAGTCACAGCAAACATTCACACTCTCTCTGCTTATTTGGCTTTAAAAAGGGTACGTCTGCGTATTTTCAGCACTTCATTTTCTTTCTTTTCCAAGTGGCATTTCATACTAAACAAAAACTGATCAGAGGTTTAGAACTATCCTTAGCCTATTGTGTTTCCATGGTTACAAGTCTGTTATTCATCTCCCCAACTCAGCCTCAATGACTTACCCTGCTTTATGACCCATGCTTATTAAATCTTGATTATGTTCTATCCATGTTGGCCTATTACTTATAACACCACAATCACTTCTAAAGGAGGCAGTCTTCTTAACCTATAATTGAGACATCTGAACACAAACACTATGTTTTCATCCCTCGTGACAAAGTCCACACTGAAATAACTGACCCCTTTTCAAGCTACTCTTTGAGGAAAATTTCTTTTAATGATGTTATTTCTTCACAATGTTCTCGCCCATGTGTGATTACTCGTCCACTATTCTACCTTCCCCGACAGCTGGTTTGTCGGTTGTTTTGTTTTTATTCTGAGGTAATAACAAGCAGATTACTATGACAAGAAAAATAATAAAGTTGTGCTGTCAAATTATTACATTGCAACCCTAATTAATAGAAAATATTTTAAAAACATAATTCAACACATTTGGAGTGCCTGCTGCCCTTTGTAAGAAAAAAATTGGGAAATCTTATATAATTATACAAATAAAATAGAGAAAGCTGAAATAAAGTATCAAAGGAAGGTAATGAAAAAATATTCTCTGTTGGTGAGGATTAGGTAGAGCTGTGTGTAATATAGTAACTGCAATAACAAGAAAAAACAATAGTGTCTTAAAGGAAACAGTTTATTTATTTTTCTCACAAAAATGGGCCTGAGAAGAACTGGTCCAGGTAAGGGGTAGTAGGTCCATTGCCATCAAACCAAAACTAAACTGAACTCACTGCCGTAGAGTGGGATCTGACTCACTGTGACCTCTCCTTGGGTTTCTGAGGCAGTATCACTACGGAAGTAGATTGCCCAACCTTCCTTCCAATGAGTGGCCTGTGGGTTTGAACTGACAGCCTTCTGGTTAGCAGTCAAATGCCTTAGGCACTATGCCTAGTCAGTGTGACTCAGGAGTTTATCTTCTCACTACACTACAGCACTCTTTACTTATTTGTCCTTTGTCTCTATTCCTTCACCTTCCACTTTTCATGTTCAATTAATTTCTTCTACTCATTTTCTAACCAGCACTCACTTAATAATCTAGCATTTCTATTTGGAGCAGAAAGCTACAGCAACAGCTACAGAACTGCCTAATACCATTCCTGGCAAAAAGTAGGTGTCGATGAAGTAATTTGGGGAAGAATGGAACTTGTCAAGAGGAAAGTAATCCGGGATATGCTAGTGAGTAGTTTCAGGCAAATGGAGGAAGAAATGGAATGATTATAAAGTGTGAGAAGAAATAGAAAGTAGAAATGTCAGTGAGGTCTGTGAACTTGAGTTTTGTATTAGAAGATCCATGTTGAATAAGAGTTTGAATAAAGGCTACAAGAATTAGTGGGGTTTTGTGCAAGTTTGGTTCTGATTGTATGGTTTTTGTTCATCTGGGAGTGTTACTGTCCGGGAGTGTTGAGAATGCTTGAAAGTAGAAGTAGCCTAAGGGAGGAAGACAGAGAGAAGGAGAGAGAGAAGGAGACACAGAGAGAGAATGTTTGTAAAGGAAAAGATAAAATATGCAAGTAACCCCAAATGAAGCGGGACAGATGGAGAATAGAGCCTCAGTGAGGAGGGAGAAATCCATTACCTGAATCATAGCTCCTGTATGTATATAGACACAAAAGCAATGATAATTTCCCTCACAAAGGTTTAATTTGGCATTCTTGTTAATTGTGATATTGATAAGACAGAAAATGCAAATGGAAAGGAATAAACGAGGAAATATGTTGATGTCCAGCCATGAAGTGGCCTATGGCCATGGGTTTAAACTTGAAAAGAAGATGCAGAAAGCCCATCAGAGAATATTACTACAGATTGGAAAGCAGAATGCTAGAGGAGTAACACTCAAGGAGGTGATTAAGACATGACAAGTGGAAAAGGAGCAGCTAAAATGGATAAAGAAAGAGTTCCTAAAAGTCAGGTTCAGGGTATATGGAGAAGACCCAGGTGAGTGAGGGAGATCAGAGGGGAGTAGACTTTTCCTCTGATAAACACATGCTCTAGTCAGAAAACTGCATTCCCAGGTAACTTGAAAAATGAGCTCTTTTAGCTCATGACAACAGAAAAGGAAGAGAAGAACATCCTGTTCAGATCCACTCTTGGAGGATATTCAAAGCAACAACATATTGTTTATTATCATATTTCATAATCACAGAGTCATTATACCCAACTGACATTTTTCTCAAGTACTCCTTTTATTTCTCTCACCATCACTACACTTTATTTCCATGTCACTGTTTACAAACTTACTGAACTCTGGTGGCACAGTGCTTAAAACATTTGGCAGCTAACTGAAAGGTCCATGTTTCAAACCCACCAGCCACTCCACAGGAGAAAGGTGAGACTGTCTTCTTCCATAAAGATTTATAGGCTTGGGAACCCTATGGAGCAGTTCTACTTTGACTTATAGTGTTATGAATCGGAATTGATTCAATGGTTTAATTTACAAACTTCGCCCTTTGGTTGAATGTAATCTTGAACTATTGCTTGAAGAAATAATGAATGAATGAGTATATACTCCAGAGACAACATCAAACCATATTTGTGCCAACTTTTAGGTGTTAACGTGATTACTGGATTTCTCCATGAAGAGGTCCCTCTGATTTCAGTACCATTATAGCAAACATTCATACCGAATAATTTCCCCGACATAGAATAGATTTTCAATAATCAATCCCCACTCCCTCATCTAAATTCCTCTGTGACAAAAAGACAAATATTTTTAGAGGGTAGATAGTGTCTTACAAAAATCAAAATTAAAGTATCCATTGAATAACATACTTATTGTGCTCTAATTGTGATCCAGGCACTATTGTGGGTACTAGGGATATAAAAGCACAAAAAGCAAAACTTCTGCCCTCATGAAACTTTATTCCAATTTAGAGACCAGACAACAAACAGACACCTTAGTATATGATAGGTCAGATGATAATAAGTACCATGAAAAAAAAAAAGAAAAAAACGAATCAGGGATTGATAGGCCAGGTGAGGTGGGGTGATGAAGGAGAAATGCAATCTTAAATAAGATGATAATAGAAGGCCTCCTTGTGATAAATAAGCAAAGGCTAGGAGGAGACTACTTTCCAAGTAGGCTTGGAAATAGCAAACTAGACGATTCCAAGAGAGCTTGAAGATTGAGGCTGCAGGGTGAGAGAAAGGATGGAGTCAGGGAGGGAAGAGAGTGAGAGACCTGGTATGATTGCCATTTAACTTCTGAGTGAGATGGGGAGTCTTTGCAGGGTTTTATGCAGAGGAATTGTAGGACCTGGCTCACATGTTTAGAGGACCACTCTGGACATTATATTGACAATAAATTGTGGATGGAGAAGAGTAGAGTCTGAGAGGTGATAGAAAGGCTATTGAAGTACTCTGGAGATGAGAGGTGATGGGTATTACACCAGGGTAATAGTAAAGGAAGTGGTGAAAAGGGATAGACTTCTCAATACAGCTTGAACATAATACCCATTGCCATTGAGTCAGTCCAACTCATGGCAGTGTTGAAGTAGTCCCAGCACCCATCTCTTCTAATCTGTCACTTTTGGTTCTAAGAGAAGTCTTCTCTCAGCCAAGGTATCATATCTCAGGCTAGGGAACAGGAGCAGTGGATTGAATGCCAATTGTTCCTCTTGGAAAGAAGCTCTGGTGGTGCTGTTGGTAAGGCATTTGGCTGCTAACCAAAAGGCTGGTGGTTGGAACCCACCAGCAACTCTGCGGAAGAAAGCTGAAGCAGTCTGGTTCTGTAAAGATTTACAGCCTTGGAAACCCAATGAGGGTCGCTATGAGTCAATGGCAATGAGTTTGGTGTTTTGGTTTGGTTCCTTTTGGAGTAGGGTTTGGTTAACAGTGGGTATCAGTAATATTTCCATAGCAAGAGTAACTGAGGAGTAATCAAAAAATTGGAGTTGGCTTTCAAAGTTTGTTGAAACAATGAAGATGTGCATCACAGAGATCCGAGTGTCTGAGTATGGCTCAGGGTTTTTAATGGTGTTTTTTTTGTTTGTTTGTTTTGTTTTGTTTTCTCCCTTTCTGTTTCGGCATAAGAAGTAAGGAATTGCACCTTATTGGCCCCATCTACCATCACCCTCTGTGGTGGTTATGTGATGTTTGTGGGTCAACTTGGCTGGGCCTGGTTGAATGGCTGGGCAGCTGGTTGTAGTTATTCCCCATAATGTGACTGGCAATCAGCTCCATGGGGGGAGCTACCACATGTGGTCTATTCCTCATATATAAGAACGAGCTTTGGGAATGGTCTCTAGCTTGCGGCACACTTGAACCCTGCATGTAGCCATGTTGTTGTTGTTCAGCAGCCTGCCATGCTCTGCTGACCTTGGGACTTACCATGGACTCAAATGAATGGCCTGCCGTGTGCTTTGGTAACACCCAGACCATGCCTTCTTATTTGTCAACCTTGGGCTTGGCCGCCTCAGCAGCCAGCAGCTGTCTGAGTGAAGAAAAGCCTCTAGCTTCAGTGGGCCGGGAGTTGGAGGCAGAGCTGAAGCCCAGGGCTGAGGGGCTTTCACACAACCCTTAGAGCCTGGCACTTTGAACTTGGACTTCAAGCCTCCAATTTGTGAGAAATAATCTCCTGTTTGTTAAGGCCATCCCATTTGTGGTATATTCTTGTCAGAGCAGCCCTAGGGAACCAGAACATGCTCCATCCAAGGTAGTTTCAGCAGCAGCAGGGGCTCATGATTTCTAATTTTCTTACTGATCCCTGAGAAAAATCCAATACTAATGGATATCTTTTTCTCATTGGCTTTCTTTTCTTCAAGAAGTAAAATTAAGTGATCCTAAAATAAAACACCTGTTGCTGCATAAAATGTATATCTACTTTTCTTTGTCCCAAGTATTATGTTATTAGCCAAAGTGTCTTTAGGTTATTTATCTAACTTTAGTTATAGTTACAGCAGCTTTCTCCTATTCCGTATTTCCTTCTTTTCCAAAACAAGATAATCTGCAAAATATTGTTCAGGAGGGCACTTTCTTATCTTTACCTGCATGTAACGGCAAAAAGTAAGCAGATTAATCACACAAAAAAAGAATGAATATATTACATCATGAAAACTAAGAAGGAATATTGAAACTGGCATACTGTATTTTTTAACATATTATGACTATCATGCATATGCTAATATTTGTGTTCATCTGACCCCTTTTGTATCCAGTATCTTTCTCTAGACGGAGATTAAAGGAAGGTGTAAAAGACTACATTGCAAACTCTGGTAGCATAGGAGCTCTGGTAGCATAGTGGCTAAGACACTTGCCTGCTAACCAGACGGCTGGCGGTTCAAACCCACCAGCCACTCCTCGGAAGGAAGGTTGGGCA